CACATAATTAAGCATCTTGCTCAAATAAAATTAATTTTTATAAACAGCAAACAAATTTTATGAGTTACTATAATGTAAGGAAATAGGTATATGAATTACTGCATCTTAGTAATAGATAAAGAAAGTCTTTTGAACATTGTACTAAACTTGCTTAGCAATTGTTCATTCAATATGTGTTTACATATTTATTTGAAATGTGAATAAAAATTTGACATGTAGCTGTTTCTGAATTCTGCTCAGCAATAGTATTTGACAAACCTAAACGCCACAGCCAACGAAACGTCTTGTTCGATTAAAAGGAGCGAGAATTTTCTATATTATGACGAAACACGTTAGAAATTCTTTGCAGAACAAGCGTTGTGGACCTGGCCTTGGTGGGTGGCTGACAATATTTATAATCTGTACGAAGCAATTAAATGTCGTTTTCAAAATATCCGTACTAGGATTGTTGATCTTGGCTGTAGGATTACATGCTGATGTAGAAGAACTGTGAGAAGAATTCAATAGGTTGCCATGTTCGCAAAATAACTACATTCTTCCCAGGCAGAAATCGTAAAGGCTTTGGTCAGGTTTGTTACCTGAAATTAAGTCTGCAATTTGAAAATTGCATGACCACCGATATGTATATTACACTGGATAACGCACCATGTATAAAATATAGTACGATAATTGAAGCCGGATGTTGGCTCATTTGCTACGACCTTGGGGGGTATCGGTCCCACTTTACTATATTTTTGTATTACATAATCCCAGTTTTGGCGTTTTTTGTCCTTTTACATAATTCTGATTTGGACAAAATTTTTATTAAATGAACAGAATAACCGGTAAAGAGTTTTAACTTAAATGTAGATATGATCTTCGCTCTTTGTTGGACAATTTAAGCAATTGTCTCATGAACCTGAAAAATTCAGGTTACTCTTGCGCGCTGATAACTTTAGCGACGTTTTTCTATCTGCTCAGTATTTTGAGCGCAATATTCAGCTTTGCTGGTGAACAAGTTAGAAAAATAGAGATGTAAAAAAATTTCTGAAACCGTTTATTAAGCTTTTATGCTCTGATCGATTAGATAGTAAAGCAAGGAAACAGAAATACAACAGTATCAAACATGCTTTTTACATATAACTTTATCAAACTACATGTTTGTAAATGTAGATCGTTCAGGTTGGTATAGTCCTGAGAAGGACTGTTTTTGTTGTTGTTGACTGAAGTTTCGACAACCTTAGCGGTAGTCATCTTCAGATTGAGCTTTTAGAATACGGGCATCGAAGCTAATGATGATTCAGTTTAATAAAAGAAAAAACAACTGATGATGATTCAGTTAAATAAAAGAAAAACAACTTAGAGTTTATGAAGTCTTCTTGATAATCTGTGACTCCTCCTCTAATTGTCTCAAGGCTACTAATCTTTTATGTTAACTGACATGAGAAAACCCTGACAACCATTGAGTTTGAAAATGCCCTCGAATATACATTTTAACAAAGTTTCCTGTCCGGTTGTCCGGCTACATTGTTTTTTTAGGATTTGGTTGACTTTAAGTTCAGACATAGCAGAGGAAAATGATAGTTTTCAAAAACAACATCGACCAGATCTCCTTCAACTTGTCTTATCATAATCAACTTAAACTTGGTCGATTTCATTTAATACCAAAGATTTATTTTAAGAAGTTGATGGCAAAAACAAGTAAAACAGTTTCAAATTAGGCCTTTTACGCATTTGTAATTCAAAAGAATGAAATTCCAACCCGTATTTTCTTCCGATCACGAAATTCTTCACTTTCGTTGGTAAACTGAGATTTCAGCAACATCGATTGTAGAAAAAGCATTTTCGTCTATATTCTTTAAGGGTAAAGGTATTGGCCAAAGGTTCTTATATCAAAACACGACTTCTATAACTGCGTTGTTTTAATAAAAGGGCAAAAGTTATAGACGTCGAGATAAAATGTGGTATACTTTCTTAAACGAAATTCATCCATATTTGACTCTCGGATGTTCGGATGTTGCGAAGTGAGTGGGAGGAAGTTGAATAATAGCAATTGACCATCCTGCTTTGCACTGATTGTTTGCCTACCTAACGGGCCTTTTGGACCCACAAATCAGGCCCATCCATGTGTACACATTTCCTATGTTTGACTTGGCAATATTATAGTAGGTATACTTACTCCAAGTTTTCTTTTTTCGCTATGGCCAAACTAAATATAAAACATCTTGAGCGATAGGTGGTACGCCTGGCACACACGGCCTACATGCTTACTCAGTAACATAAGCCTGCCTATACATAAAAGTACTTGCCATTTGTATACGCTACCATAACGACCGCTTGCATAAAAAAACCATTAAGGTAAAATTCAACCGATTCTCATTTTGGACTTTTCTTTTCATTATTTATTGATGTAGTTTACTGATTAAAACATCAGTTCCACTTAAAACTAAATAAAAGAGAACAATTTCTGGCCTATAATACATACAAAGGAGTGTTTACATTTTGAAACAGTCGCTAGATTTGCTAATCAAAATTAATTAAGCATTATCATTATGCAAGATGAATCCCGTCTGATATCAAAGCTTAATAGTACAGAACAAACATGCAATCAGTGAGAAACACATAATTAATTTGGCACCTGTTTTTCAAGGGCGAATACACTGGAATACAAGGCTAAATACAAGCAATGTTTGTCGCCATAAAATGGAAATACGGCATTTTGTTAAGTTCCATGTCTTTTTCGAACAAATTTAATCATTTCATCTTTGGCTTAAAGAACACATGTGATAAATAAGACAAACATTGTCACAATATCGTTCCAAGAACAAAGTCAAGGTTATTTGAAAGATTATCATTTTAAAGATTTCGTCTCCAATCAGCTGCTACAGCAAAGTCGCAAGTCTTCAAAGGTTTACTTTACTTGTTTATCTCGACTTTAAAATTTGTTTGGCGCCGAAATCGGAAAGGACGAAAGTACTATTGATGAACCAATAAAAAAATACTTTCTACAGAAAGGTAAGTTCTAGGCATCAAATGGCTCAGAAAAGGGCCTTACAAACTCCTCTACGAGACCCATGTCGAGATATTTATTTACTACAAATGCTTCATTCACTATAAAATTTATACACTTAGGAGGAAATCAATAAAAATGAAGCAGTCTTCGATTCCTGAGATCGTATTTTTGTTAAATACCAGTAACATAGCTACGCATTTTATTACCAAGGGCCAAGGGGTTATATGTTTTATGAAATTCAGAGCTAAGAACATCAACATGAAAGTACAGTTTGGGAAGACGCTATTTTTTTGTTACGCAATGACAGAATGTTGGAAGTGTGTTAAGGTTTACAAAAAGCCTTGAGATCGTGTTCATTGTTCTTATTTTATTTTCTAGTTTGAAACTGCTCTCAAAATGCGGTAAATGACAGTTTGATCATTGTATCTTTTAACCTTTAGAACCCAGTTACATCCTATGGGCTATGCCCCCGGGTAATTCCACCCTGGTCTTATTGAATACACTTTCTTCTATTTCCTACACTGAACAACTGAGAAGGGTTTTTACGAGAAGAAATGCGCAGAAGTACCGCATTGAGATTTCGCAGTACAAAGTCTGAGCAATTAGCGACATCAAAGAACTACATGGAAAAACGATGCTTGATAAAAACACTTTCGCAATATCGAAAAGAATACGGACAAAACATGAAGCAACTGAATAACAAAGAGCATAGTTTTTTGAGCGCAAATTATCATTATATTGTTGCGATGCAATGTCTCCAATTGAACAATATATTCGAAGAAAATCAGGAGAAGATGAACGACAAAGTTTCTCATAAAAATGAAAGGAGAAAACGATATTATCATTGGCAAAGTTTCAACACAAAATTGTCAAAGATCCCACCACAAACATTCACACATTCACCAAATAAAACATACAGGATGAAGCATCAGAGATCTAGAACAAAATTACCATCAATTAACGCAAAGAAGATTCAGGAAAATAATAATACTGAAACGAATAAATACGTAAACACCAAACTGCCACCATTTGATGAGCTTCGACTATTCAGCAAGACTGCTCGCTAGGAAGGTCGTAATAGCTGAAATATTTGTTAATTTTTCAACATTTCTGTGGTTGGTAAAACCTAGTGACTAACTATACGCTTACATGTTTTTTGCTGTGTCAGTGTGTCGACCAATTTGAATTGCAAAATAACAAGGAAACGCCATCTTTTTTCTTGCAGTTGCGCACATAGATATATTAAACATAGATTACTGACATATGAATAGCGGTGGGGCCATCGTGAATAATCCAAGATGGCGAAACAAGAGGGCAAAAGATACGGAGTTTGTATTACGAAAATGAGGTTTTTCGCAGTTCTTGCCAACAGTGTTTCGTAATTTATCTGATCAAGTTTTATAAGAAAGAGAAAGATACAGCGATCATTTTGAGCATATATTTGAGTGATATGGATGAAAAGTCGTGAATTTATTCACAGATAAATGTTTTAGTAAAACGCTCACTTGGTCAAATCCATCGTTTTATTGCCAAAAAATATTATGCTATGATATTTGCCTCTCGAATGATTTCCTGTAACTGAAGAAAACGTCGAATGAATGGATAAATTGTTGAAAGCTTGATGTGTTAACTGTATCCACACAAAAAATATGTTTTGACAACCAAAATCCGCCTTTACCGCCATGTTTTTGACAACCGGGTCCAGGCCACTTTTCCCCTCCAGGTCTTATAGAACTCAATGGGCCTCACGTGCGCTATTTATAGATGTATTATACGTCAGCAATCTATGTTTAATATATCTATGGTTGTGCAGTACGAGTTTTGCCAACCAACGCATGCGCACTTGACAATAAAACAATGGCGGTTTGAAGATACCAAAGTTAAAAGTAGCAAATAAGGATATCAATCTAAATCCTGAACCTGGTTGTTGGGCTTAGAGAGCATCGAATTCTGATATTGGCTTTTGATTTTTCATTCATGAAACAGAAATGCATCTTTTGGATCCCCATTCAGTGGTCTAATATACGTGATTGTATTTTATAAGGCTTTTGAAATACATATTTTCATACAAGCAAAATAATATTAAGTAGTTTTTGTGCTATTTCTAACATTAAATACACCTTTTGGACAAGTTATACAAACTACTTTGAAGATTCTTCCAAATAGTCTTTAGCTTCGTTGATTTTCGCGGCGAGATAAGGTGAACCACCTGATGAAAATGTTTGCATTAAAATGTTATGCAAAATAACCCTTTAAAAAGGTGGGCACTTATTGGTTGAATGCTCAAATCACGCGTCTTTACACGGGAACTTTCTTGCAGTTGGCGTGGTTTGCGCGTGCAATTTAAAAGACGAAAATATGAACAATGTATAGTTAAAATCAATTCATATAATAACCAGAAGAATTTGTATAATTTCATTGGTCGAGAGTTATGATCTATAAGAGGACAGACACTCGGAATTGACGTCACAGAAATTTGTTGTTTTTAAATGACAAGAGAAAGGCGAATTTATATGAATATTTACATGAATCCGTGAATTGACAAATAAAGAAATTAAGAAAGCCTAGTTGAAGCAGTGGACGTATTTGACAAAAAAGAAAAAAATCCGGTTTTCAAACATTGATTTGTACTTCGTCTTCGATAACAAAATTTAAACAAAATTGATCAACCATTGCTTGTTTATTTTGTTATCCAATCAAATTTTATCACGTGATTAATCTAGCTAATGCCATTTCTTCAATCCTATAGATCACGTAAGCGTGATATTAACAAAATCAAGACTTTTCAATGTTCGAAGTGTCTAGGGACAAAAAAACAAACTGTTTGACCGTTTAATTTGGGAAATTTTTCTCACTCCGGCAGCTCGTGGCCACTTTTTAAGTTTTTATCACAAATGACGTCATACCCGTGAATCTATAACTGTATAGACAACGGTTAAATGTTATCTTTTTTGTTTGACTACTTTGACTAATTTGAAGCTCTAAACTATGAGTGGAAACACTGATCTGAGCAGGCGCTTGATTCTTGAGGAATTTTAGTATTTTAATAATCACACGGGGCAACGAGAGCGCTTTCACCAAATATATGTAAAATAAAGGAAAATGAGTTGATACAACTCGCATCATATTTTATTTGTTCCTACGGGTTATAGAAACAAGGAAAATTTCTACTATTTCTCAAATATTACTGGACGTGTAGCTTAATGTGATAATTTACGGGAATATGGAGAAATCAAGGAATTTCAACTTACGTACCTCTGTCCGGATGATTTAGCAACATAATCCTTCGGTGCGAGTCGCGCACTCGAGATTTAGGAGCTGACGGACTGTAACACACAAGAAGCAGAAAACTTTTCAATAAAATTATCATAATATATGTATTAACTCACAAGATATAACTTGCTATCTTATTTTTGTACTTTGTAATATTGGAATTTACATTTGAATGCTTTAGATCATCAGTTAATAGCATACCAAAATTAAAATGCGGAGGAAGATTCTTACTTGGCGGGGGGAGGGGGGTAATATTCATAAATGCAAGTTTTACTATATCAGCTTTTATTGATTTTCATTGAGACCCCCTCCTATTATTGTACAATATATTCAATCAGCAGGAAAATCAGCCAAAGTACTTAAGTATATTGCTCAAGAACGTACTTACCTAACACCTAAAATTAAAGATGCTTCTCGTTTGGACATTTTTTGCTCAAAACCACCTTTATAGTAGCCTTTGAACGACTGGAAAAACAAAAAAATATTTTCCTAACACAAAACGTAACAGTATACATTTAGACAAGTAACAACCATTTATAAAATAAATCAAACACAATGTTACAGACGTATATCGAGAATGCATGAGGTGTAGTTGGCAAATGAAAGTTCAAAAAATTCAAAAAAAACCCTGCAAAATCACGGTATCAGGGACAGAAAAAACACGGGGAGCTCGAGCAGGGACTCTGCCCCCTAAAAATCATTAAAAGTTGGCCAGCCTCCCTTAATTTCTTCAAGCTACAAATTATTTCAATTACATATCACTGTTTTATACATAAGGACAAATAATACAATCCCCCTTCCCAAAAGAAAAAATAGGCATGCAGTGCGTACATGTGGGTAGCCTGTCAAGTATATAAATACTAAATGAAGTAGATTAAATGAGCATAATTCGAAAATAAACTATATATTTAATATTATTTACGTCAAACTTTTTTAAGATTTCAAAATATTCTTTAGTTCGCATCTGTGCTTATTGCAAATAACTTCTGCTTGATCTTTGTACGCGGACAGACGCTTCAGAGTTCACACAAAGGAAATGTATTATTACATTCATACTATGATACGCATATGCGCTTTGATTCCTTATTGTTTTCATGCCGAATGAAATGAAAATTTGATAGCAAAACAACTCACGATATTTTTCCAAAACGGTATTGTTCGCCAACGTTCGTATATCCGACTATCACTGAGGATTACGACAGACAGGACAGACAGACAGACACACAGACAGACAGACACAAAGACAGACAGACACACAGACAGACAGACAGACACAAAGACAGACAGACACACAGACACAAAGACAGACAGACAGACAGACAGACAGACAGACAGACAGACACAAAGACAGACAGACACACAGACACTTGCATGCGCAGCGGCCACCCACAAAAACAGCTTCCACAGCTCCTGAATTGAGGGAAGCAAGATCCATTTGGGAATTTGAGGTACTCTGGGGCAAAAAAATTGTTATAGATACGTACATTCGAATTTGGAAGATTCTTTGGAATTGCATCAATCACAGACGACAAGTCAATTTTTCTCAATCCTTGAATAAGAAATCGCCCTAAAGGTTTTAAAATGTTGTAGAATAAAGCATTTACTTGAAAATAATATACAAACAATTATAAAATGCTGGAAACCATTCCAATTGAACTATCAAACGATTTTACCACAACTAGTACTGCCTTACATAAAAAATTAGTTTTAACTCTATTTTCACAAGTAAACGATGAGCAAATTTTTCTCACCAGCAACTGCAGCACCAGCCACTCCAAGGCCAGCCAAAATTAAGGTTGTCTAAAACATAACAAAAAAAGGAAACATGAGGAGTTACGTAAATACACGAATGCAGTTTGACCAAAGAGTAACGATTACTGGAGGCGAACATATAGGGACGAAGGGTGGAGTTGACAGCCTTAGCTTTGAAGAAGTATTAGACGAAAAATGTCGGTCCGCCTTCAATTGTGGACTTTTCTAAACAGAAACGACAAACGTTTGTTCCAGAACGGATACGGTACAACCCCCCTATTTTATTCATTGCTATTTACGGCAATCAGGGAAGTCGCAAATATCTTCGATTTTGGGGGGTGGGGTGGGGTGGGGTGTAGCAAATATTTACCTGAAGATTTTACTGTTTTCCTGATAAGCATTTCGCCGAAATTGGCAAACAATTGAAAACTTCAAAATTTTCAATTTTAAAAAATAAATGATTTGTTTTAAGATATTTTATTCCATCATGTTTAGTTTACATAATCAAGGAATATGCAGCTCTCTATGCCACTCAACAATTTAACAAGTGAAATTTCTGTCCTAAAAATGGTAATAATGATTACGGTCGTAACAACCACAGGCGTACGGGAACTTTAGTTTTTGAGAGGGTAGTGGTTTACTTGTCCGAATTTCAAACCGATGTAAAGCCATTGTAGCAATTTTTAATCCCATGCAGATTTTAAATGATCAATTGGTTGTGTAAACTAATATCCACCGATTTGTAAGTGAAATTAAAGGACATATTGCCCATACCAACTTCCTATTTTACAAAAACTTTTGGTAGATTTATACGTCTATATGCCATATTTAGTTTTATGAAGAAATACATGACTTTATGCACAATTTTCCCTATTTCCTCGACTATTTTGCCCAGGTTTTGCAAAGTTTTTAAAATTTAGGAGACAGTTGCATTCCCTTACTCCCCATTTCGTACGTCTAACGTGTTATCACGTTCATGTACACCATGTTGATAAATTTTATAGATATAAATTATTATTTCCCAAACCAACTATGCTTTACTGATATCCTATAAGCAGGGATTGATAGTTTCAAAGCAACAACTTTGCTCGTCGTCAAATGAGCCAAGTAAGTCAGTTCCCCTGTGTCGGACCTTGCCTAGCCCATATGTCGAGAAATTAATGGGGCTAGACGCGCATTCACTGAAAATAGAAGTATGACGTCTAACAGTAATGGATACTCCCATAAAAAACATTGTGGAAAGAAATATTTACTTTTATCACTGAAGATCACTTTATTCGTAGGCGTAGTCTTCGAAACGTAGAAATGATTGAATGTTTTGTTTACTTTGTGTCTACTTTCTACAAAGTATCAATTGTTTATGTATTTTATACTGAGTAAACATAGAGCAAAGTATAACATATCACAGTCAGTGTTGTACTCTAACTATTGTTTCTTTGCGTATTTTATTATTAAAGGTATATAAAGGTAAGATAAACAGAATTACATGTTTGTAAATGTAGATCGTCCAGGTTGGTATAGTCCTGAGAAGGACTGTTTTTGTTGTTGTTGACTGACGTTTCGACTACCTTAGCGGTAGTCATCTTTAGAGTCAAATGAGGAGTAAACGTCAGGTTAGCCGTATGTGTTATAGTTATCTGGTTCTTAGGTCATTGTATTGTGTGTACAGGAAATGTGTGGGTGTCAATTGTGTATTGTTATTGTGAATAAGTCGTTTGTGAAGTGCCGAGAATTGCTGTAATCTGTTCATGGGGGTTTGTTCTAAGTTGGTATACCAACTTTTTAATGTAAGCCGTTGTCTATAGTAAGTACTAAAAGGAATGCTTTTTGCCGAGTCCCAGTCAATGTTGTGCATTTTGATTCGGTGATATTCGGCAATGTGATTAGTTTTGTCTAATTTCTTAGTAGCTCGTTTGTGTTCAGTAAGTCTTATGTTTAAGTTCCTGCCAGTTTCCCCCGATATGGGAGGCGTTGCAGTCGGAGCAGTTTATTTTGTAAACTGTGTAGCAAATTTCTCCTTTGCACGTTAGCACAAAGCAGTTATGCGTCCGGCGGTTCTCTATGGGACTCTATACTATCTAAAGCTAGCGCGCAGTTAAACACAATTCTCAAATGTCATCAATTTAATTTTCTAGTCAAAGTTATATATCAATTCCAATTCATGCTCCTTACTCGTTCACAGGCATCAACAAAAGACAATGCCGTCTTAATTTGACCCTTCTAAAATACTCAATAATCATAAGTTCCTTTTTCCGCTATAACGATAAGTTCCTAGTCTGAAATAACAATCATGATTTATTTATATAATTTCCGACAAACTGCACCTTGTCGTTCGTTGGGTTGTTCTTTGTCCTTTATGTTCGTTAGTACTTGTCGTAACGTTGTGATTGGTTTATGTGCGACACGTATGTTGTATGGTCGTAAGATACGTGAGATAGTCTCAGACGTACCTTTGATGTAAGGTATCGTTGCTGTTGTCACTGGGTTGTTCGTTTCGTTGGGTTCGTTGGGTTTGTAAGTGTTGCGTTTGATAAAGTCAGAGTAATAGTTGTTTTTGTCAAAAACACGTTTGAGATAGTTGTTTTCGTTGTGTAGAGCGTCCGGTGAATCACATATGATTTGTGCACGTCTTGTTAATTTTCTGATTGTGGTGGCTTTGTGTGAAGATAATTTGGCTTTGTTGTAAGATAATTGGTCTAGTAGTCCTTCAGTATGTGTTGGCTTGCGATAAACTGTTGTTCGTAGTTTTTAATTGTCATGTTTTACCAAACAGTCGAGAAAAGGAAGAGTTCCATTTTCTTCGACATCTTTGATAAATTGTATGTGGCTGTTCTGTTCATTGATGTGAGTGTGAAAGTCATCAATCTCATCTGCATGTAGTGCTGTGATTGTGTCATCTACGTGGCGAAACCAAAAAGGTAGTGCATGTTTGTAAGTCGTGAGCGCCCGTTCCTCTATAGATTGAATTACAATTTTAGGAACTACAACAGAAACGGGTGAGCCCATTACTGTTCCATGTAATTGTTTGTAGTGTGTACACTTCACACTAATTCACAATGACAATACATAATTGACACCCACACATTACAACTAAAAACATCACACCTAAATCACACATCACAACTAAAAATATTTCACTTCACACTAATTCACAATTACAATACACATTTCCTATACACACAATACAATGACGTAAGAACCAGATAACAAATACGGCTAACCTGACGTTTACTCCTCATTTGACTCTGAAGATGACTACCGCTAAGGTTGTCGAAACGTCAGTCAACAACAACAAAAACAGTCCTTCTCAGAACTATACCAACCTGGACGATCTACATTTACAAACATGTAACGATACTCCCGGGTTCAAATCATTTACTTTATAAACAGAATTCGAGGAGAGCAAGGAAAAGTCGCACTCGTTATCGTACTGCACGTTTTTCTAATATCGAATTATCTAAGTTGATGATAACTATTATGTTTATGTCAGTATTGCAATAGTTTAGCACCTGATTTTAACCTGATTTCTACCTAATTTTTACCTGTTTTTTGTTTCAATTTACTATTGGGGGGGGGGCGTTACACCCGCCCACACCTCCCGTTAGCGACCTCTCTGACGGCAATCTGCCCAGAACGTATACGGTACACTCCCCCTATTGTATTCATTCCTATTCACGGCAATCTGCGTAAATACACTGTTTACAGTCGCGGCAATAGAAGCGTTCCGAAAATATTTCATCAACACATTAGCTCACGATTATCAATTGACTTAAAGACTTCCCAACGAAACTCTTTGAAAAAATCAATAATTCCTGTTTTGAAATAATCAATCATACAATGTGCAATTTTTAAATCAACCAACCACAACGAAGCTTTGTGAATCACTTCGTAACTGAATGAATTCAGGGAATCGGGTTAAATTTGGTAAAAAAGTCGGCATTTCTTAAAAGGAAAGATATTCTTTCGAATTTGAAAAATTGCAACTACCAGAAGTAAAAAGGTGGAATTAAGGTTATTGGAGCTGGCTGGAATAGAAAACCATATTCAGCTGTCATATTAAACAAATATCATGATGATCATAAAGATTTTACTGTTGACACCCGTCAAAATAATAGTCAGCGCTATGAATACAATCACGATAAATCCTCAGTAAACATAGCTTCTAGTGATTGCCAGTTCACAAGTTCATCAAAAGCTCTTACATTTTAAGAAATTTCAGCATTTAAAAGTCATTTATACTGGGGAAAACTCAATCGAATTTCTTTCAGTTACTGAGTGATTCACAAAGCTTGGACGTGATTGGTTAATTAAAAAAACATATAGTATGATTGGTCAATTCAAAATATGAATAGCAGGAAGTTTGGAGTTTTTCAAAGAGTTTCGATGAGGAACTCTTTAGATCAATTGATAAAAGTGAGCTAATGTGTTGCTGAAATATTTTCGGAGCGCTTCTATTGCCGCGACTGTAAGAACCGTTGATAATGCGCATCAATCGAAGCACTTTCGTAAAAGCACATTTGACAATGCCATCTTCACGAATATTAATATAGTATGACATATGACAAGACCTCGAATATTTCCCAAAAATTGCTGATTTAATGAAGAAGGGTGGGGATGCCCCATTACCCACTTAGATTTCCATCCTTGGTTCATACTCAAAATAGTTGTACAGGTAGACAGGTTTTAAATAACTTTTTTTCCAAATTAGCATGGTTTTCGCGTAAGAAGAGAATGTTCGACGTAAAGAAAGCCTTGAACATAACTAATTGGTCAAGTACTTTGTTTGGCAACAAAAAACCTTGTTATTTGCGGTAGGGAAAACTTAGAATGAAAATGCTGGCGACAGAATTAAATAATATATAAGCACATTTGTTTTTGCAAAACCTTCCTTACTAGTTCTCTGCAAAACAAGGCGCTTTTCTTCGAAAACAGGGCATTGTTTAAAATTACTTTTAAATTTGAGGGGGACATGTGCCCTCTGTGACCTCCTCCCTACCTATGCCAATAATAACACCTTAGGTAGAGGTTATATTTGAAACTGGAAACAG